GTTAGTTCCTATTAATGTAGGTCAAAGCAGAGGAGAATAAATCGCAAACAACTGAAAGACAAACAAAAACCCACGTCGTAGAAATGGACGTCCGTGATTATATTTTCTAAAATTACGGTGAACACCCTGTATGTAATGGGAGATAGAATTTTTATGATCAAAAGACTGAATACAAAACCCTCAGGTATCGAAGTACAGTTACAACCAATTAAACACATATCCGACTAAAGTTGCTAAATAAAAATGAAAGTACCTCGGTGAGGTCATTGAACTATAAAATGTTCGATATAGTTATGGTGAGGGGGAAAAAATACAAGACTTCAGCAACAAATCAAGAGAGATTTAATTGATACCAGACACGAGAAACAAGGGGATTACTTAACGTTGTTGTGTGACATATTAACACTATGCCTAAAAAAAATCATTCGATGAATGTAAATACGCTGGAAATTAACAGGAACTGGTAGAGAAATTTTTATTGTTCTATGGATAACGACCTTGCACTTGACACTACCTAAGCCTACCTACACATTTTAATAGTGGACTGTTTACAATTAACGATTTACAATTTCTTTCTTGTTTATATGGCAGGTGACATAGCTAAGTTTACGTTTACATTATCACACCGTTGCTTTTTATTTGGAAAATTTAATTAAGTACAACTTACGTCAAAACATCCGTTGGTTAAAAATACATATATGGGAAGTAATCAAAGTTAAAATCTGAACTTTTGTATACGAGATGCCGATAAATTTTCTTCAATCAAAATATAGCCTGTTTCAGGTCCGGAAGTTGACCATAACTTCCTTATTATAGATAGACTATTGATTATAGGATTTTAAAAGGAACTATGACGTTCAAGATATTTTATTACATGAATCGTTCAAATGGTCATTTTAGATGAAAAAACGTGGAGTGCTATTAAATTGGAGATAGGGGTGAAAATTAACCCCTTTCAGTTTTTCAATTGTAGCAGCTCGAAAACAAAGCAAAATTTCGGTATAGTTCATAAGAAAAATTATTTAGAGAATAGAATTTCCCATCGAAATGGCTTATTTTAAAAATTTAAAAGGAACATTTTATGCAAGAAATCGTTAATAAACAATTTAAAAATAAGAAAAATCGATTTTTTATTTTTTTTTACCTTTTTGCATCTAGTTCTTATTTTCAGTAAAGATAGGTATAGGCATTGCTTCATAAAAAAGTAGATAAAATTTCCTTCAAAATAAGAGGTTGTAAGGTATTTTTGTAAAAAGTAAAAAAAAAATCGAAAAACCTTATTTTTTGCTTTTTTAAATTGTTTATTACCGATTTTTTGCATAAAACTTTCGTTTTAAATTTTTCAAATACGCCATTTCCTGGGAAATTCAGTTCTCTAAATAATTTTTCCTATGAACTATAGCGAAATTTTGCTTCGTTATCGAGCTACAATTAAAAAACTGAAAGGGGTGCACTTTCACCCCTATCTCCAATTTCCACCCTCTAATTTAATAGCACTCCGCGTTTTTTTCGTCTAAAATGACCCTTTGAACGATTCATGCAATAAAATTGCTTGAATGTCATAGTTCCTTTTAACCCTGTCTTTTTGGATATAATCAATAATAGCCTAAGATGGGACGCACTAAATTGAATCTCCATCTCCACATTTTTTTTTTTTTTTTTCGTAATTTCAAACCCTCTCAGTTACAAATTTTAAGGTACTTGCAATTTTCTTTCGCTCTCAAATTAGCCTCGATGTAAAATTACTTAAACTTAAGAATTCGAATTCAATACTGTCGGATGCATTTTCACTAAAAAGTCCTCATTTGCTGAATCTGACATAAGTAGGCTTAATAATGTGCTTGATTTGGTGTCTTCAAACGAATTCAAGTAATAAATATCTTAATCTACTAGTCTCAATTTTTTTTAATCGATCAGCGTCTATATTATTAGCTTCTAATATACAAAGCCAGTTCAGAATATAAATATATAGTTCCAATAAGTTTAGAACTACAATTATCAAAGTATTTATTTTTTGGGAAAAAATGCGAGATTCATTAATAATTTAAAAAAGTAGTGTAAAAAGTGCAGTAACAGCAATTTAACAAAGTTTTATAGACAATATAAAATTCTGAAACAAAAAGAAAGAAAATTTGGTGTGAATATAATAATACATACAAAGATGTATTAATCATCGGCACACAATAATATTTTTAATTAAAATATATTTAACAGCATCAGTTTTGAATTTAAATTAACTATGTTTAATTCGGGGGTAATTTAATATTTATTTTTGCAAAAGAAAATTCAAATATACAGGGTACTTCAAAATATTCTACCATAAATTTTCGGAGCAATGGAAGATAAAAAAGAATATTTTCTCCTATGAACTGTGGGTTTTCAAAAAACAAAGTTTTCCCGTCGTGAAATTGACGAAATGTAACCGGAAAACCAAACATACTACTTTATTATCTTTAAACTGGTACTAATGACAAAAAGTGATAAAAGGCTATTATATTTATCGAAAATCTAGGAACTTTCCCAGACTCGAGGCCCTAAATATGGTGAAATTTGAGACCCTCCGACGGGAAGTAAGGCATGTTTAAGTGGTGCCTCTGTGACTGTGACTTCTGTAAGACAGAAAGCGATCTTTATGAATTCTCGGTAAATTTGTTTCACATGTGCTGGTAACTGATACGCGTTTGGCGCTTCTTGAAAAAAGAAGACAAGAGGAGTAAAGATTTAGTCTTTTTTTAACAAAACGAATTATAAGGATAGCGCCGCCTTAATATTTCACAAATGTCATTGAGTTTTAAACAAGGCGAGCAGTATTTACTGCGTATAAGAATATACACATGATTAAGCAAAAACGGAAAACAGAAACTTCCCTACTAGCTTCCCCTTTTTTGATTTTTTATGTACTGAATGCTTGTTTATTGTTTGAAGTTACTTATTTATTATCTCTGCTTATTGGATATTTTGCCAGCTGTGAAAAAAAATGACACCCTTGTCCTAAAAAGAAAAGGAAAAAACAGACCAAAAAAAAAAACTGAATATACATAACCATTTGAAAATCCGACCTTTTCTCAGAATCAAAACTGGGAATGAACTTTATTTTTTAGCTAGGTATGATAGTTTAAATTTGTCTGTTTAACTTCCATAGCTAGAGAGAAGATTCAGGAGATTAGGTAAAAAAATTAAGACTAAAACAGTTTTCAGACAACTAATATTTTATATTTTTTTTGTCAAAGACGCAATGCAAGTAGCTACATGTGAGAAATATCTTTTGTCCACTTTAGGCCAGGAAAATGAGCTGGAAAGTTTTATTTTTTAGCCTTAGTTGCAAAATGAAATATACGACGCACGCGCGTGATATAGTTATATATTATTACAAATTCGGAAAGCTTATGAAAAGAGCTTTAAGTTAAAAAAAAATCGTCAAGATTCGTTGAAAAACAACGGAGTTACAGACTCAAAGTTGACGGCCTATTGTTACACAAATTAGGTTAGTAGCGGCAAAAAAAAATACTGTCATAAACAGCAACCCTAGTACTTTCCCAGATAAAAATATTTTATTTGTGGAAGTATGTTAAGTGCATAAGAAATATTGTCAAAAGTCAGTGGGTCGCTTAATTTTTCGGCGAGCCGTGGCGCGGCGGAAGGGTGGGGGAAACGAACGACAGCGAGTCCGAAGAAAATGACGATAATATTCATAGTCCTGCCGTTAAAAAAGCGAAATTTGCTTCAAAATAATATATTTGACAGTCTGTAACTCCGTTGTTTTTCAATGAATCTTGACGATTTTTTTTTAACTTAAAGCTCTTTTCATAAGCTTTCCGAATATGTAATAATATATAACTATATCATGCGTGTGCGTCGTATATTTCATTTTGCAACTAAGGCTAAAAAATAAAAAACTTTCCGGGTTGCAAATTTGAAATTTAAAAAAGAAAAATGATAGATTTCAATGTATTATGAAAAAAATCAGTGCGATTGTGGAAGATGCTCGGTATCGTCCAGACTAATAATTGGTTAATTTGTTTATAAGGCCATAACTTGTAAACTATTCAACTTACCGATTCCAGATTTCGTGTGGGTTATTAGACAGTGATAAGGAATGAAAGGGTGCGATGCCAAAACGTTCTGGTAATAATAACGCAGTTTATAAATGTTTAATTCAAAAGTCATAAACAAACTTCTTCTGTTTATAACTTTTTATCTAATCAATGTTTTTCTCGAGGGCTAATTTTGTAGGTCTTTTGAAGACGAGAAAAAAGTACTCTACTGTTTTCTCGTGGAAATGAACGGAAAAAAGTTATAAGCGAAAAACGTGAATTTACGTAAAACTTATACAATTACCCAGCCTGTAAACAATCTTCCCCCCATTTTTATGACTGTGGAAACATAATATTTAGCATCTATAGTGATAAGTTCAACTTGCCGAAACAAAAAGTCGCGTCCAACTCTATATTTCCTGGCCTACTTATGTTACTGTTGCATTTGTGAAAAAGTGTTACTTTACGTAGATCCTTCATAAACAGCTATTATTTTACTTTACGCTTGCTAACTAATCTTTTCACATTAATACGTATTAGATCACTTCTCTTCATCAAGCTGGTTGCTGATACATGAGGGGAAATAATTATCATACCTTTTATTTCATTTTAGGACCTAGTGTGTGGAATGAATTGTTTATAATTAAATTTGTAACATATTGAGAAAGAACATTGTACGCAACTCGTGTAAAAAGTATATTTTTTCACTCACGGGACATCGTCACCTACCACTCTCGAAAAAAGTTGTTTACACACTTGTGGCATAAATAATTATTCTTAAATGTTGATCTGAAGTACCCCAGTGTAAATCACAGTCGTGCTTGTTTTGTGCCCTCGTCATATGCGCACTCTTTTTTCGCATAAATGACGTTGTGTTTGCTTTATGTCAATTTGCATGCTTATGGAGATGCATCCAAGCTAAGTGCCTACACTATAATATATTAATTTTTGTTCTTTTTTTTTCAGATATTCGCCTGCAGTTGAACGAACAGCTAAGATGTCTGGACGTACGTATGGAAGCACAAGTGGCTCTCCTCACGGAACTCCAAGATTTTTTCAGAAGAAGAGGAGAATTAGAGTTAGATTACTCCAAGAACCTTGATAAGCTAGCCAAGAGTTTGCAACTTAGGCATAAGGAACAGAAACAGAAGTAAGTCCGAGTCTTCGAAATTGGAAAAGTCGATTCGTATATTTTTTTTTAATTGTTTCAGACGAGAACAGTGGCCTTTATTTTCAAGTTACGCTTGTTGGCAACAACTGGTAACACAAACGAAAAATTTAAGTAGGGATCACGTAGCTTTATCAGAGGTCTACTCTACGCATTTGGTGTCGCGGCTGTCCCAGGTTATGGAAGACGTACAAAGGATATACAAGAGGGTGAGTTCCCTGCAGTTTAACATTTTTAATCGCTTTAGTACCTGTCCAAAGTTATTTTTTAAAATATTTCTTAAAAAACGTCTCGAAAAGAGTAGTGTAATGGATATGGATATCGGGCAAATTTATTGTTTTAAAATGCTGGGGTTATAACACGAAAGAAAATGAGAACTATCGCAATTGTACAAGATCACGAAACAAGGTTAACGACAAAAAAAAACAATGTAAACAGAATCTAATAAAACCAAAGATATTCTGCATATCTTGCTCCTAGATTATATGGTCAACTACCACAAATGTTGAAGGAGCGTGAGTCAGCACGTTTGCTTAGTTTTAAAAAACTATTAAAAATTCGGTTTTAGAATACAACCCGGACTTACATTTATAAATAACGACTTGCAAGTTAATCTGATTTTTTTTATATCCACTTTTAAAATATCCGCAATTTAATTTGCAATTTGTTACTTCTCTTTCCACTGTTGCATTTTATGAATTGGTTGTGGTTATTGTTTGTAAATGTCTCTCAGCATTATTATGACTATTAAAATTGGGGTAATACAATTTTATTTACAGAATCTTTCATTTTATAAAATATGAAATATCAATAGCTACGAATTTACTTATTTTTTGACATTTTATTTCCGAAACTGTCTTCAGTTATCGGAAAATAAACAAATATCAAACATTTAACAAAATCGTAATTTATATCAGAATAAAATCTACAAAAGTTAGGGAAAAACATCGAGTTCGGTGTAGTATAAACCCCATAAGAATTTGTTTTGTTTTGTTCCTATTTTGCTACTTTATGAAAAGTACGTTTTTAACGACCATTACCACCAATTTGTTATAATCACCTGTCTTTCTAAATTAAACATTTTGTGCAGAAGGCCTTGAAAATCTCTACAAATAAATACTTACATGTTGCAATGCCTTAAAAGTGATAGGAGACACGGACTTGGGAAGTTTTAAGTGTCGGACACTACATAAAAATACTTTTTTCAGTTTTTGGAAAATATTTAAAAAAGTAAAAGTATAATTAAGGGTAAATAATCATATTTCGCACGAGGCTTCACATATTAAAAAAGTAATAATAAAAAACAGATTATTTGTAATGGTATATTAACTTTGTGAATATACAGGGTGAATCGTAAATGTGTACATAAGTATATTTTAACTCTAGATATAATTCGTGATGTAAGTGAAAGTGAGTGTCAAATTTCAGTTAAAAATATTTACGCAGATATTAATTTTTCGAAAATTCACCCATTTATTTGCATATTTTTAAAAACTTAAAAATATTGAGAAATTCTTCATGACAATGTGCACTATGGGGTTGCCTATTATTTGGCGTATGTGACGTCACTACTAAAAAGTTCTATTGTCTTGATTCCTAATTGTTTCATAGTCCTAGGTCGAGTTTTTGTCTGTCATGGAAACACCCTGTATATTTTTAATCACGGATGCGTTAACTTGGGCAGATGTTCCATTCCAAAAGAGGCTATCAAATATCGATATCGCATAAAATCCGTCAGATTTAATTTATGCACACCTGCCAGGGTTGTAGCTTGTAGCAGAATTCAAACGACACTTTTTTAATAGCTATTTATTATTATTAGTATAACTACGTTCATTTTCATATTTCCGCTGAAACGTTTCCGCTCAGACTTAAAAATATTAAAATAAATTAACTCGTTTTACGTTGACGTTCCAGAATTAATTAATTCTTTATTTTCGTCACGCGCGAACACTCTTTCTGTTGCTCACGTTTAAATAAATATATTCACGGCAGTTGTATTAGACGGGGTTATTATAAAAAAAATGTCTTTATTGTTCTAGTGCCGCGAAATAGGGTATGAGACGCACGAAGAGATCTTGCGGGTTTTACACGAATTGCACACGACTATGAAAACATATCACAGCTACCAAGCAGAACTAAGGCAGGCCGAGGCGAAATTGAGATCGGCGGAAATACAAAGAAATAAACTGGAACAGTCATTATCGCAGGACAAATTGGACCGCTCGAAGAAGTACAAACTCATGGAAAAGGAAGTGATGAAGGTAAGACAAAGTTATTCGATTCGCAGATGATGCAGGTATTTACCGAACAATTTTTTAGCGCAAAAACAAGTACACAGATGCCAAACTAAAAGCTCTAAAAGCTAGGAACGAATATATTTTGTGCCTAGAAGCTTCCAATACAACCATACACAAGTATTTTGTGGACGATCTCTCTGATCTCATAGACGTAAGTTCTCTGATGTAAATCAAGGTCAAAAATGGACAATGTACCTCTAAATATCTTCTGAAGAATTGAAGATATTGCATTGAAATTATTGCTGGATATGTTGTCTGAAGTTATTCATTTGTGGCATGATTTTGCTTTTTTTTCTTTATTTGGGTATTTTGCTACCTGCGAAAAAATTTATTATTGCTCAAAAATTATGGCACGCCACTGGAAAAATATAAATTTGTATAACACTGTATAATTGTAAATTTAATTTAAACTAAGACAGAAAAATTTATCCAAAAAAGTCGATCTTTTTTCAATATTTTTTTTGAAAATTTCGTCACTTCGAAAAATGGAGGCTTCTGAGATAAATATATGAAAATACAAATGCTTATTTTCGGACGCGACAAACGCACCTTCATTTTTGACACATTGTAATGTTACACCCTGTATTTTAATATACGGGGTGTTTCCACCGAAGTCAAAATAGCAATTGAGAAAAATATACCTTATCCCCTATACCTACACCTTTGGCGTGTCAATTTAAAAGGAAATTGAAAACAGTTTCATAAATCATGCTAAAAATTTCGGTAATTAAGACGAAAAAAATTAAATTTTGTTACAGAAAATTGTATTTTCGTTTAAATTTGAGTTAAAATGTTATTATTTTGTAATGTTGTCAAAATTGTAACAAATTTTGTAAACTTTGAACCCTGTAGACTAAAAAGGAGCAACATGTAATTAAGGCGTGTTTGAACAATCGTCCCATTTTGACCGCGGAAATTTCTCACAGCTTCATTCTCAAAACACCTTGTATCACGTTTTATCTCTGTAGTGCATGGACTTTGGTTTTCATAACTGTATATCAAGGGCACTAATGATGCATGTGACTGCGGAAGAAGGAAGGCAGAAGTCAGTGCAAAACGGCCTAGACACCCTATCGGCCTGCATACACTCTTTGGATTCTAGGTTGGACAAGCAAAGATTTTTGGAGTATAATCACAGTGCATTTATGATTCCTAAGAAACTGGAATTCCAAGGACAAAAATCCGATGAGGTGAATAATGGAACTATATAACTAGTCGCAGACAATCAGCTGTTTCGTTTTTTTAGCCTCCTGAACCAGAGATTCAGAACCTGCTCCATAGAGAGATGGAAAGCAGACTTACCCAGCTGCAACAAAGGGTTACTTCTTTGAGGGCGGAATCTGAAGAAGTGTGGAAAACTCTAGAAACTGCCGAGAGTACTTTATTAGAAATGTTGAGTGCTAAAGACTATGATTGTAGTGGTTACTTTGGTGAGAATGCGGTGCCTGCTAGTAAACCTCCTGAGACTGTTTCTGTTAAGCTCAGAGCTGATAGACAAGAGACTGAAGAATTTTATTTAACAGTAAGTACTCAGCAACAATGAATTTACATCACCAAAATATTAACATTTCACCAAATCATTATTTGATATTCTGCAGTTCTCAAAATGTTAAAGTATTTTTAAGTACGAAATATTTTCTCATTATTTCAAGGTGTATAAAGCAGTATGGCACACCTGAAATCATTTTTAGTGTATACAAATCAAACACCTAACACTTATTTATATTTTATTTGATTTTCTTAATTGCATTTCAGAAGTTTAGAGAGTATCTATTAGGGTCGACTAGAATAGCCCGCCTAGATGCAAAACAGGAATTTTTAAGGCAATCTCTATTGGCCGAAGCTCCCGATTTTTGTAATTCAATAAAGCCCGTTACGAAAACTCCCAAAAGAAAACGAATAGGCAGATTACAGATGAGTGGGCAGCCTAAACTTTTCGGGGGATCCATTGAGGAATACCAAGAAGCGACTAATCAAGAGATACCTTTGATAATGAGGTCGTGCATTAGAGTAATCAATTTATATGGTAAGTACACAAACACTATTGGTATATAGTACCTGAAAAAATAAGAAAAATAGTTTATTCAGATACAGGGTGATGAAAGTTTTATTATTTTGTCAAGATTAAGTTCTTTAACTTAACATTTATTTCTGGAACACTCCGTACAGCTTTAAAACTGTTAGCGAATCTTTCAATTAATCCATGTATCAGAAGGTTTGCAAAATAAATGAGAATAACTAAAATAAATAATAAAATTTTATCACTGTGTATGGCAAAAACAAAGTCAGAATCGACATTTACATCGATTTTTCGTATTTCTGGTCAGAGAATCACTTGTACTATGTCGTTCATGGAATATTGCAACACCCTATATAGCTTAATTAGGGTTGCCAGGTGTCACGCTTTAGGCGTGATTGCTTTTCCACTTGCTGCCACGCGCTATGCCAAGCTTCCCAAATGCCACGTTTTTTAAATTCGATCACGAATTGTTCCGATTTTCAGAGCACATTGACAACACTGCAACTCTAATAAGCGGCTTGACTGAACACGCCCACTGCGGTCTGCGCCGACGTGGATTATGTTAAACATAAACTTGAAGACATAAATTTGAAAGATTTAAAGGTAGACAAAAAATGGGTTGATTTTTTTAAAAGCAATAGTGCTCCAAACATGGAAATTTTGCGTAATTTTGTGTTTTCTTTGCCTCATTCCAATGCAGATTCAAAAAGAATTTTTAGTCTAATATTTAACGCTTGGCGAAAAGAGCGAAATAAAATTGAAATCAAAACTACAATTTTTCGTTTTCCTGTAAGGAGTTTAAAAAATACCTTATTTCTTCTGAGGGCGAACACTTGTTGGAAAAAATTAAACAAAATGAAAAATACTCATAAATATGTAGTTTTTTATTTGTGAAAATGTTTATTTGTACTAAAGATTTATTAAGTTTGTATTATTTAAGGTTATTGTTTTCACTGTTTTTGGTAAATATAAAATATTAAGACATAATTTTGTTGCCCTCTTCCCCCCACCCCTCCCCTACTCTTTGTAGGTATGGACAGGTGCCATGCTTTTTCCCATAGCAAATCTGGCAACCCTAAGCTTAAGTTATTTGATCTCTGCAGGGTATCTAAATACCGTAAACAAAACATTTAGGGGATCAGAATCATCATCTTATTCATAAAAATAATAGTACACTATCTTATGGCATTTTTTCGTAATATCAACGAAATTACATAACCTCAAAGTTATTTTATATTAATCAATTTGTTTTTCTCTTAAATGTTTTAAACCAGGCTTATTTGTTTAAGGTTTACACCATCAGGGTATATTTAGGGTATCGGGTTCTCAGGTAGAGATAAATAATTTTAGAGAATGGTTTGAAAGAGGCGAGGACCCTTTGGCAGACATGACTGACGCCTCTGATATAAACAGTGTAGCTGGTGTGCTAAAACTGTATCTAAGAGAATTACGTGAACCTCTCTTCCCTATTATTTATTTTGAACAGTTCATGGAACTAGCACGTAAGTTATCATGTCGTTAAAATAATGGATACGGTAAACGTTTTAAAATTTCAGAATTAGAGTCTAAGAGAGAATTTATAGGGAGAATGAAGGAACTGATTGGTAACCTGCCACGTTCAGTGATGGTGGTTCTCAGGTATTTATTTGCCTTCCTAAACCATTTATCAGAATTTTCCGACGAAAACATGATGGACCCTTACAACTTAGCTATATGTTTCGGACCTACGCTAGTGCCAGTCCCCGATGACAAGGACCAAGTTCAATACCAGAACCAAGTAAATGAGCTTATAAAAAATATAATTATGTTTAACGACGAGATATTTCTTAACGATGGTGGAGTCGTATATGAAAAATACATCTCGCCTAACTCTGAGGACCAGTAAGTAAAATTATTTGTTGAAAACGTTAGATGTGTTAACGAGGGTTTAATAGGGACGTAGGCGATTCTCCTTCCGATCAAACTCAGGAAGACATGGATTCAGAAGTCTATCCGTCAGAAGATGACTCGGAAAATATTGAAGCTACGGCTCAGTTTGATTTCATTGCAAGATCCGATAGGGAATTGTCATTGAAAAGAGGTGATTCGGTTACATTATACTCACAAGTGTCCCATGATTGGTGGCGAGGAGCCGTGAATGGCCAAGAAGGACTTATCCCAGACAAATATATTTCGCTAAAAATGAAGTAAGTAAAATACTCTTTATTTCTTCAATTTTTGCCAATTATTCCATTTTAGAGATGACGATAGAGATAAAATGGGTCTATTAAAGTCCAGTTCTTCAGAGGAGTCGGTTAGGAGACGCGCGTCAAGTTCTAATGACTCGATATTATCTGAAAGTTCCGCGTCGGCAAGTAACTCAAACTCGCCTCTCGTGCAGTGTATGCCAGTAACATGGACTAAAGTTTCCGATATAGCTGAAGCTAACTCAACTGAAAATTCTTCGATCGTGTTGAATCAGTCTAGAGAGGTATTGGAAACAACTGTTTAAATATTGTTTATGTATAGGTGACGGCTGTGTCTAAATAGTGGGCTTCTCAAAATTATAGAAAATTATTCAGGATATTAAAAACACACTATGCCTATTTTCGTACTTGCCCTAGAATAGGTTGCAAAATATAATTTACCGATATGATTTTGAAAAAGCCTAAAATTGACAGTTATAGTTGTAGATGTTGCTGTGCTATGCATTGGCAAATTATTTTTAACATTTTTTTCTTAAAATGGAATTATTTTGTTTTTAAATGTGACATCTGTAAACTTACATTGAGATTTTTTTTGCTTTAATCTTTAATACCTATGCATGAGTGTTGTGTTGTATTTTTTTATTCTAGTTTATGAGCATGTGCATGTTTTATTATTTATATGTGCTTGTATTTTACAAGTGACTGTTAAAAATTAAAATAAGGAAAGATGTGAATCTTTTATACATAATTATATTTTTCTATTTTTCTACTTGTTACAAAATCGCACTTGAAAAGTGTGTAATAATACCATGTATGTTATTTTGTAATTTTATTCACTATTGTATAAAATTATTTACTGTTGTAGTTTTATATTTTAGTTTAAACAGTGAAAAAGTAGATAAGACTGTAATAGCACACATATATATGTGTATTATTAACTGTTAGGGTACTGTTTAGTTCATAAAATACCTATGCATGGTTTATTTGTAGATTTTTACAATAAATATTATCATTATTTTGAGTTTATATTTTAATTCAGTGATTTTAAAAATGTTTATAACCCCTGCAAGACAGTGTTTAATTTTGTTTAAGCTAGCGTTTGTAGTACATATTCTTTCGGCACCTATAAACAGGTAAACCCATTAAATTTCTTTTTATTAACAGATATTTGGCATTAAATAGATTTATTGATGATTTAACACAGAAAGTCACATGGTGTTCAGAATAATATATAATATACATACATATTTGGACATATCAAATATTATCATTATTTTCAATGTTTTATTCTGAAATCAAAGTGACTAAATACTAAATATATCTAAAAATGGGTTTTCTTAACTCAATGTAGCTTAGCGTTGTCGCTTAATGTGTAGAGTATTGTAGGAATATTTTATTTTTCATATTTTTTTTGATTTCATAGACAATTACTAGTCTGCAAACTGAGACAGCAAACTGAAAAGGTGAGCATATCTGCATGGTTGTTTAATGTTGTTTTGCACGTTTTGCATCTTTAAGGGATAACATTTCTCTATACTTATATATCCGTTACAGTATCTGCCCCACAGTAAGCGCCAGATATGTGTATTATCTACATCCATAGTCACTGCCAATCTCTAGGACTAAACTTGATATCCATAACTCCTAAAATTACAACTTTCAAATAAATTATAAAATCACATATGTCTATGTTGTACTAATAACAACCTAACCTTGCATGAACCATATCATTCATCAGCGATTAAAAGATTCACATATTTCTCTTCCTCCCCATAAGTAAAAACGTATAAAGTTCCAGTGAAATTTCAGGTAATTTTCAAGGAAACGTTACTTTTTTTAATTCTAAGGTGATAGAAGAAATTAAAGAAGATAAAATTTCAACCTTGAAACTGCCACTGGAATAGTAATTGTTGTTTGGTTTAACATTTGATGAATCATAGTTAACATTAACAATATCTTTGTTTCAGAACGAAACCATAGCAAAACCAGAATCAACTAACAGTAACGCAGCAATATCTCTTCAACCTATGACAGAACAGGATAAATCAAAATTAATAGATCAGTCTTCAATCACCAATAAAAACTCTGTGGAGCAGAGAACTAATCCTTCATCTAGTGAAGTTGGAAGTACGAAAGTCGAAGAAACCGAACAACCTTGTAAACAAATAGACGAGTCTAATGTTGATTTCACACAAAATCGGGAGCTTTGGCAGAGAAGAGCTAATCTAGAATCTACACCAGCTTCTCCTTTACTAAAAACGCACAGATTTTCAGAACCATATATACAGAGGCAAAATCATACTCCAGATCTAGTTATGGATTTACCCGTCGTTGGGAATTCAAGTCCAAAAGAACTCGCAAAGTCTATGTCTGTTTTAAGTAGTACCTATTCGGATAGTTCTCCGGAAGATGATGCTAGTCCTACAAAATTGGTAGAGAATAAAACTGGCGCTGATAGCCCAGACATGCAGACTGCAGCAGAAACATTTGCCAAACAGAACCAATGCACTTTGAAAAAGAATAAGAAAATCCAAATGGAAAATTCAGAATACGTTACCATAACCAGTCCTATGCTCGATCGGAAGTATGCAACGTTGGGAAGCAATACAAGTACGACCACAACATTTAAACCTCAACCCAAAACGAAACCTATGGTGCTCAAAAAACCTGTCTTCTCTGTACCACTAAGATCTGTCTCTATAGAGATGATGTGTAAGGACCCTCCTGATCTTCCAACATAAATCTGCTCATAGAGAGATTTACCTCACTATTTTACGTTATTTTTTTATATATTTCAAATAATGTAAGAATATTTACGTCTTATTTTACTAACTGACTGGTTTAGAGTAGAATTCTTAAAACAAATCTAGGATGTGATCATAGAGAATATTATTTATGCCCTTACAATGTTTTACATGCTACGATGAAACGATATTAACTGGAAGGTGAGAATTTGACGAGTTTTCCTTTTAATTAAAACTGTTGCATCACTGTAGCAATGCAAAACGTTTTGGGTATTTTAAAATCACATCTGTTTTATCTTTTTACTTGAGAAAGTGAACTTGAACGTTTTTATTTCAAGTCTCGTGAAGCCATTAGTATACCTACCGTGAAGATTTTAAATAAATATCCTTGTATGAGAGTTTAATAGAATAATAGACTGATTTAAAACCCAATAAGCACAATGTCACACTAAGTGAGTAAATATATTCTGTCGGTTTATCAAAATTCCATTGACATTAACCATATTCAAGGTCAAAATCTGCTTGGTGAAAGCGTAATGTATTATTTTTGAGTATTTGTGACATTGTATTTGGTGGGGCAATGTATTCAACGACTTACGTGTAGCTCTCTAATTTTTTTTTCTGTTGAGCAATTTGGCTTAACTAAAATGTGTAACTACGATATTTAATTTATTGAAAGTTGGCAGGTTGATATTTTCCAAGTTGTATTGTTCATTGGCCTAATCTGAGATTTTGTTTAGTTTAAATTGTTTTTAAGATTAACATTAATTTATACTGTCTAGTTCTAGAATTTACTATAATTATTACTATATATTTTTATAATGTCTGATGTTATTGAAACCGTGTAATGTATATAATACACGACAATATAACTATACGAATCCATTTACACAGATACATCACATTTAAAGTCGACATGAATAGTTTAGGAATGCTTATATACATACATTTCTGCAAAATATATACCTGGTGTTTATTGTTTATAGTCATAATCAAAAAATTCTTTATCTTACAGTGTTAACCGTAGCCTCTCCAAATATAATATCAGGTATATCAGATTTTTATATGCATACGTTAAATTGAACCTGTAAAACAAAAGGTAGTTAGTTACTGAGTTAAGAGGCAGACTAAATTCTTAGCTCCAGTTCAAATATTGGAGAGTATGAAACGAAGAATATTTAACTTGAAATAAAATCTGATATATCTCGAACAGAAATTTGTATCTGGTTGTCCTATTAAAAGTCCCTGTACAGGTTTCGGCACAAAATGTAACGATCCGAAATTGCTTTTGTAATGGTGTAACGTAATATTCAAATTCTGATTTTAAAAACTAATGATTTGTTATGAACATATTTATATTCTGTTTCAAAATATGTGATTATTTCTGATATTGCAATTGTAAACTTTGTCAGTGATAAATTATAATTTGATTAATAATTAACATTTTGAACTTATTTTTTTACCTACTCGTTTCACGTTTTGTGTTCTGATGTTATACTTACGACAGTCTTAACGCAAGGTAAGTTTCATTTATAATAAATATTTTCTTACATGTTTAACAGAGAGCCTTCATAAATGTTTACAATCCAAGTTACCTCCGAACTTAGGCAACCAACATTGCAGGGCTGGTACTGGTAACGAAAAATCCCTAAAATAATGGGATCGCCGATTATTTGAGTAATGGTTATGACCTATAAGTTGCTGTACTCTCTAGCACTATAAATCTTTTCGAAAAATATTTTTGGAAAAGAGAAACAAACAATGAAAAAATTGACTTTGATGCTTGTGTTTTGCATAATACAAAAACGGCAAATAAGTAACGTAAGGAATTTTTGCAAATCCCTAATTATTCATTAAAAAAATACCTTGTTTAATTTCAATTACTGAATGGCAGGTAGCACCAACCACAATTTTCTACAACAGAAGGGTGTTATATACTTTATTTTTATTACGAATTGTTAGATACTGTATTTGCCTAAAAAGATTTAGGTTTAGTTTTAATTAAAATTTCATACATCCTAGTTACACATGCCTAGTTTTATCAGCTCAAATTTAAAAACAAATCACTACATAGTTTGTTGGTTTAACAGATGTAACTATCAAAAAGTTGAAAATGCCAGAAAGTTTGCCAATACTTTGAAAATGATTCAAAAATAGAAGTTCTAAATACATATATATAAATGTTTTTTAACCATTGTCATCTTACTGGAGTTTACTTGATGATGGCATTGGAAATGGAAAATAAAAAAAGAATGCACTATAAACAATATTTTAATTTCTGGTAGTGGCTATGTGAAGATAACTTAGAGTTCTTTTAAATAACGATGAACGACGATAAAAAAATTTGAATTACTTTAAAAACAATATAACGATTTTGACTATGGGACATTAAGCTTATCTCCAAAAGGTTTTAAATTTAGATGACGGGCTTGAAAGCAGGCAAGTATTTAACTATCAATTGAAGAAGTATGATAAACTACTTCAGTAAAACAAATTTCTATGATTTGGAAACCACCGAATTTTATAATTTAGAAACATTGCAGATCATATTAATATATGTTGAATTATAATATTGTAACTTAAATATACAATTTAATACAACTCTGCCAACTATGGTCAATTTTCTGGCAGTAGTGTCAGTACGGAAGAATTCTAACCTAAAGCAAAACTAATTTGTAACAATTTGATAATATTTAAATAAAACTTGAAACTACTTGTGATTTTAAGCTAAAACATAAAAGTGCATCAATTTTCAACCGAGTAGATATTTAACAAAAAGAAGGTTAAGAATAATTTCCTACCTGAAACATTGCTCCACGTTATCTCTGTAACTCAATGTTATTACATCACTGCACTGCACTGCTGCACATTTAATTTAATGAAATATTTAAAAAAAATCAATACATATATATTTACTTTGCAAACAACCAATTTTTAAATTTAAACAAAACAAATTTCTAAAATAACAGTGGAACAATTGCGCCCCCTAGATGCACCGAAAGAATTCTGTTATACTTTAAAGGTAAACAAATACTTGTCTACTAGATGGCGCCACCATATCAAATAGAAGAAAGGATACCACTGCATATAAAATCAAATTTCAAATCATATATATATAAATACATGTCTTCAAACATAACTTAAAAATTGTCAGTTGTGATTATTTTAGTTTAATTTTTCATTGTAGACTTTTAATTTAAATCAATTGTTTGAGTTGTATCATACCGAGTGAGTGCTTTTGAGTTCTCGATCTCGGTTATTTTAAAAACTGCGGAGTTATGACAATCGATTTCAGAAGCTAAAGATAAGAGGGTGGTTTCGCCTCTTTTCGGCTTTTGGTAGTTCTCGGCTACTACCACTACAAGATAAATATTATATACTATAAATTAAAAGAATATACATACCTATAATTATTTATGACACCAGTTTGTATACAATGGCATAACAGATTTTGCGACGACAATGATTTTTGATACAAAAAGTAACGTAGCACTATTTAGAAAGTAAAACACCAAACAAGCATTTGTCGACCATTTTCGAATTCCTATTTGTATAGTAGAAAATAATATTTGAATGATCTAGTTTTCGGCCAGTCACTTTTTTACCATTCATTCGATAATTTGAAACTCTAATAATGTTTAATAAATTAAGTTAAAACAATTGATAATCTGGGCTAATACTAATAAGTTACAAGTCTGTTTTATATTTACTTATTTTTTAAATTACTTATATGACAGAATGAGTCCTCAGAGAAAAAAAATTAAAATTAATAGTCATAATAATGGAACGAAAGCTTGAGGGGATATTATTAGCCTTAAGAAGGCCTTTCACCTTCACCCACCCTTTAGGACCACAATGCTCAAAATCTAATCGTATCGATTGGAATTACTTGTCCCCATTTCAGACAGACGTTGAAAGTCACCTATTGATGGTAACATTTCTTTTCACATGAACTGCTAATGAGCTGGAGCAAACTGGGCTCTGATCAAAAGGTAAATTGTCGCTATGTCTGCGGCTTATATGACAATGAAGCTATTCTGTACCCGCAAATAGCAACAGTCCTTAAAAAACTCCATTCATTTGCTTCGCCGATTCAGTATGTGTGAAAACGAACATAAAGCCGGCTACGCCATGGGCGCCGTTAACGCAGAATCCAAGAGGGGTCAAATTTAAAATACCGGAATACATTATCTCCTGATCGTGTATTGCTGAAGCAAAGTGGATTAATGTCTTCTATACTCCATATGCTTTATGCAATCTATTGTCCATTGTCGTAAGAAGAATACGCATCTTGCCAATTTGCTACTCCTCTCACTATACTATGATGTTACGAACTAACAGATACAGCAGCCACAGCTGTTGCAAGAAAAAGAAAAAGCATAGAAGAACAAAGAAGACGAAGGCCCAGAAATTAGTTTCAAGGGCAACTGGTACTGTTTACGAATTTATTAATGAACGAACCATCAAATTGTAAGAATTATGAATGGGAAGTAATACGTTAAAAAAGATTTTTTTAACGTATTACTTTATACATTTTGTAAAATTGTAGGGTATAGCCAGAGTTGGACTAAATTCGTTCTGATTGGAAGTTTGCACACAAACCTTCAAATTTGTCGAATACAGGACGCTAATATCAAAGACGTTTTCTCGTAATTTTCACAAGTTCAGACTTTCTTTTCTTTTTCGAATAACTATGTTAAAAGTTTTTAGGTATTACATAAATTAATATCGAATGTTTCTAAACATTGTCTAGAGCTCTTTTGCTTGACACCGTATTCAATTTCCACATTTTTAGATAGATTTATATATCTCCTTTGTGAAGGTGATCAATTTATAGGTACATCTCACTTTTTTCGAGATTTCCATGGTAACATCCTTAATTGATTCGTCCTGCATTTATCGAGTACGAGATTTTCAAGTTCTATAACACTGTATCGCCCGTGGGCTGTTTTATTGAGCTCCGACGTGAACGATTCTACGACGGTTCAAAATGAGCATATTGACGCGCTATTCATTCGACATTCGACAAATAGCTAAAGAAAAATTTGTAGAAGAGGCTGGAAATTTTCTATAAAGAAGACTAAAAAGATCGAATTTCTGCATGTGATTAATGTTTAGTAATACATTTTGGAGTTTTCCCAATGCCTCAAAAAGTTATAACTGGAGTTCGACACTTCGGTGCCTAAGGAAGGGGTCGTCACATCTAAAAAGATTTAAAAATGTATCACTCGAGCAATGCCTGTCAATTACTACTTAATAAAAAACAAATGATTGGAAATAAGTACCATGTAATTGTTTATTTCACCTGTTACACATTTGTGTATACGAGGGTAGCAAAATAGTTAATGCCCCATTTTCGGCGATGTTTTTTCCGGTAAAGGAAAACATTATCAGGATGTTTGAAAAAAGATATTACCGATGTAATATGGAAATTGGAAAATTTTCATATGAAAAGATGCACATGAAGAAAAACTGACGACTTCACGGCGCAGGCGCGTAACATGTCAAAGAATAACGATCTTTGGCAAATCTAAACATGCGCTTGCGTTTGCGCATTTACAATGGCGCATCCGTACCGACATGAAACTTACTGAGGACGCGCTACTCTCTACCCCTAACCACAGAGAAATCAATACGAAAGTTTTTTGAATACCTATTGCCCCACTGGCGAATATAGTCGTTGCCAGTTCTTCGTCGCGTTCCGTTGTCAGCACAGTTTCCGCATATCCGTGCTCCCCTTGCCCCTGCTAGGGCGGTAACATATACACGTGGCTGTATGGTGTTGTACATATAGACAGTTTCCTCACAGAATGGGATAGCATAAAAAATAGCGATCCTACGCATCCACAGTTTAAGGTCAGTGGGCTCTGCTTCGCCTTTTAGCAGCCTACTTTTCGCTTTTTGTTTAAATAAATAAATTTTAGCGTCATCGATTCTGCATATTTGCATGTGCCGGTGCCTCCTTGGCTTCCTCTGCGCAAGCGCCAATGACGTAACACGTTATTAACGCTATTTACATACATCATCCTATTTTATTATTTCATTAATAACTCCAAATATATATTATCCTTGATTATTTTTCTATAACAAATTAAGTAAATACACTACACTCTTAAATTTTGCGCGATTTTCTTTCGTATTTCAGCAAATTAAACTGCTGTTGCGTTGTGCGAAACAATCGCAAGAATTATGTAATACAATTTAATTCTGAATTAATTATACGTGTTACAAAATATATAATAAGTATATAAGTATAAATATTGTCTCTGGGGCCATTTAAAACTGTGGTAGAAAATGTGTGAAATTATATTTTAAGGGAATATCGATTGTTTTCTCTCGAAAAAATATTGCACATATTACAATTCACCATAAGATACTACTGAAAATTAAATGATTCCTAAATA